GTAACATCCTGTGTGCTTTGCTACCTAGAGATTTCTTCTGCTAAATATAAAATTTCATCACTCCTAAATTCTGTGTTCCATAAAGCCCTCACACATAAACATAATTCACACAAGTCCTTTGCCTCTTTAGAACAAGAATGGCCTTTCCTCTGCTTTCTAATACCTTATTCCTCATTTCTACCTGAGACTTTGCAGAATTACCTTTACCATTCATATTTCTATCACATTCTGATCATGACCACTTAAATAACCTCTTAAAAGTTTCAGATGTTTGCAATAGTTCTCTATGTCTGAACTTTCAGCAGAATTGCTCACACTACTATATTTGTGGAAATACAGACTCTTAGCTGGATGCTGGTGGTTCATGCCTGTAATCCTAGGTACAAAGGAGGCAGAGATAAGGAAGATCACAGTTCAAAGCCAGCCCAGGCAAACAGTGTGTGAGACCCTAGCTCAAAAAATAAATCACAAAAAATGGCTTGTGGAGTGGCTCAAGGTGTAGGCCCTGAGTTCAAACCCCTGTACCACAGAAAAGAGAAAGAAATACAGACTCTTTCTAACCTGAACTTCAATGTTTTACACCTTCTATGCAATAACCAGTTCCAATGCAGCTTCCACATCTCTAGGTATTTGTCCTACCAACATTCTACTTCTCTATGAATTTCTATCTTAGTCCCATTGTGTGTTGTTACAACAGAATACTTGAGACTGAAAACTTTATTGGCTTACAGTTACAGAAGGTGAGAAGTCCATGATCAAGGTACAGGCATTAGAGACAGCCTTCTTGTATGAATACAAAAACCAGAAGGAAAATGTACTGAGAATCTCCAAAATATGCTCATAGCTATAGTTTTTGCCTAATAACTTGCTTTACCAGCCAGCCTGCTTTGCTTGATTATTCAGGTTTAAATCAAACAATTGAAAAGTGTTTGTCTTTCTTTCTCCTTCTCATCCCCCAATTGGGGTGGGGGGGCTCAAAACTAACATACTTTCAGTGTGACTAAAGTCAGGAAGACATACAACTTCAAAAAACTGGCACCAGTAAATTGGGATTTAAGTTATCCTAAGGTCACCATCCAGAACTATGTCATGCTTTGTAGCACACAAACATTGAACCAGGTTTGGGGAGTTTCCTTTTAAATTCCTTAATTCCCCCTTGAGAATTAAACAGCAGCCCTTGAGACGTTTGTCTCCTGTACTCCTTCTGTGCTTAACAAATCAATAATCCTTATATTTCTTTTCCTCAAAACTCTAGTCTCATTACTTATGAATCAGCCCTGAGTTCAAGGATGGAATTTTCAAGCGAGCAGGAGGTAAACCCATCCTTTTATAATGGCACAAAACCCATCCATTAAGATAGGAACTGACCAGAGAACAAGAAGATGATTAAGTAAAGAACTTAAGACAAAACAAGAAGGATGAAAGAACATAACTTAAAGCTTATTAACCATATAATATTTAAGAATATCATCAATAATCACCAAATGGAGCAGGGAGTTGAAGAAAAACTAGTTAAATGACCAACAATATACATAATCTATTAACCCACATCCTGATATGATAAAGAAATGATGTATTCCTGATCAAATAGCACTAGTCAAAAATAACCTTTACTGAAAATATGCAACATACCCTAGAATTAGTATAAAAATTACAACTCTCTAGCGAAGTCCACACTCACTTTTCAGTGTGTGCTTTCATGAATAAACACTATTTTGCTTGTTGCTCTGATTTTGTATCATTTGTCTCTGATGGTGATAAGAATCAGGAAAAACTGGATAGAGGTCTCTCTATCGATCCTTGAGACCTTCCCAGCCCTCACCACCAGCAACACCATGAAGGTGCAATCTTCATGTCCTAATCACCTTTCCAAGGTACCAGCCCCTTAATAGTGTTTACATGACAAAGAATTTGAACAAGAACATTGAGGGAACAAACATTCAAACAATACCAAATAGGATGACAGTTCAGCAATACAATAAAAACATGTAAAGGCAAACCTAAGGACCAGCAGGTAGTGGGTGAAAAAGAAATGATACAAAAGAGAGACTAAAGAGAGTAAATTGAAAAGACATTGTATAGTAAATCTATATTAAGAGAAAGATGGATACTTGGCCCAATACTTATGACCACGTACAGTAGTGCCATTGAAGGGGAGAAGAACTAAAGAGGAATTAAAATCTAGATAATATATGAAACTGAAATAGGTGAAATTTCATCTCATTTGTGTTCAAGAATATGCCCTGAAGACAATGTAAAGACAGTGGGATAAATATGCTCAAACTTTGGGTGTAGGAGAATATTAGGGAAAACAGACCCAGATATGGATAACATCAGTATACAGACAGGTGTTCATTATAGAAAGTTGAAAAGTAAGCAGTGAAGGACAATCATAAAGCAGGGCAGAAGGGCAAAGAACAGGAGAACAAATGAATAAATGAATTAAGATGAAGGCAGAGATAAGAATGGACCAGAGAAATGAAAATCAATTGGTTGATTTTGTTGAATTACTTGTGTTAAAAATAAACATTTAATGATCCTATACCTTAAAGACCAAAAAAAAAAAACTCTACCCAAAAACTCCTAGACACCATAAACAGCTACAATAAGGTGGAAGGATACAAAATCAACTTACAAAAATCATTAGCTTTTCTATATACCAATAATGAAAAAACTGAAAAGGGATATATGAAACCAATTCCATTTACAATAGTCTCAAAAAAAATCAAGTAAACTTAACAAAGGATGTGAATGACCTCTACAAGGAGAAGAAAGAGACTGAGGAAGACTACAGAAGATGGAAAGATCTCCCATGCTCATGGATTAGTAGAATCAACATAGTAAAAATGTCTATACTACCAAAATCAATCTACATGCTTAATGCAATTCCCATCAAAATCCCAATGACTTTCATCACAGAGATTGAAAAATCTACCCTAAAGTTCATTTGGAAACACAAGAGACTGTGAATAGCCAAGGCAATACTCAGCAAAAAGAGCAATGCTGAAGGTATCACAATACCCAACTTCAAACTATTTTAAAAAGCAATAGCAATAAAAATAGCATGGTACTGGCACAAAAACAGACATGGAGACCAGTGGAACAGAATAGAGGACCCAGATATGAATCTACACAACTATACCCACCTTATTTTTGACGAAGGTGCCAAAAATATAAGATAGAGAAAAGACAGCCTCTTCAACAAATGTTGCTGGGAAAAGTGGTTATTCGTCTGCAAGAAACTGAAACTAGATCCATATTTATCACCCAGTACTAGTATCAACTCAAAATGGATCAAAGACCTTAATATCAGACCTGAAACTCTGAAGTTAATACAGGAAGGAGCAGGAAACACTCTGGAAGTAATAGATACAGGCAAGGACTTCCTCAATAGAACCCAACAGCCCAGCAAGTAAGAGAAAGAATGGACAAATTCCATTCTTCTGCATAACAAAAGAAATGGTCTCTAAACTGAAGAGACCACCCAGAGAGTGGGAGAAAATATTTGCCAGCTATACATCAGACAAGGGACTGATAAACAGAATATACAAAGAACTTAAGAAACTAAACTCTTCCCAAATCATTGAACCAATAAAGAAATGGGCAACTGAACTTAACAGAACATTCTCAAAAGAAGAAATTCAAATGTCCAAAAAACACATGAAAAAATGCTCACCATCTCTAGCCATAAAGGAAATGCAAATCAAAACCACACTAAGATTCCACCTCACCCCTGTTAGAATAGCCATCATCAAAAACCTACCAACAACAGGTGCTGGTGAGGATGTGGGGAAAAAGGAACCCTCATACACTGCTGGTGGGAATGCAACTAGTACAACCACTCTGGAAAAAAATTTGGAGGCTTCTTAAAAATCTAAACATAAATCTGCCATATGATCCAGCAATCCCACTCCTGGGGATATACCCTAAGGAATGCGACACAGGCTACTCCAAAGGCACCTGCACATCCATGTTTATTGCAGTACTATACACAATAGCCAAGTTATGGAAACAACCAAGATGCCCCAGTACTGACCAATAGATCAAGAAAATGTGGTATTTATACACAGTAGAACTTTACTCAGCCATAAAGAAGAATGAAATCTTATCATTCACAAGTAAATGGATGGAACTAGAGAATATCATTCTGAGTGAGGTTAGGCAGGCTCAGAAGACCAAAAATCGTATGTTCTCCCTCATATGCGAACTTTAGATCTAGGGCAAATACAGCAATGTTGTTGGTCTTGGGTGACATGACAAGGGGAGAACACATATGAGAGGTATGGGGATAGGTAGAAAACACAAAACATGAAAGCATTTGATGTCCCCACTCCAGAGGAACTAATATAGAAACCTTAAAGCAACAGAGGTCAACACAAGAAGTGGATCAGGAACCAGTGTAAAGATCAGTGAGAGATGAATCAACTTGCGTTGTAACACATTTATTTGTACATGGAAGCAATGCTAGGAATCTCCTGTATAGCTACCCTTAACTCAACTAGTAAAAACACTTTGTCTTTCTTATTATGCTTGTGTCTTCTCTTCAATAAAATTAGAGATAAGGGCAGAACAGATTCTGCCTGGAAGTGAGGGGGGTAGTGGGGAGAGAGTGGGGGTGAGGGGCAGGTAGGAGAAATGACCCAATGTATGCATGTATGAATAGAGAAATAAAAAAAATAAAAGTAAACATTTAGCTGTCAAACTCAATCCCTTGGGTTAATGCTTTCAATGTAGTTGAGTCTGTGTAATAAAAACAACCCAAGTCAGATTAAGAGTCAACTCACCAGAAAAACTAAAAAAAAAAAATCAATGTATTTTGAAATCTTGCACAAACAGAAAACAGTTTTGACAAAAATGTATGTTGGAACAATTAAAGAAGTGAATGAAAAGGTCTTGGAGACTTGCGTCATTATTTGAACATTTATGCATTTGAACATGTGGGTGACACTTCATAAGGTCAGCACACAGTCATACTAACTGAGTGTCTGTTTTCCACACAGCTATGGCCACAGCAGAGTATACCACAGATGAACCTCTAATCAGAGGCAAAAGGAAGCAAGATCTCCAAGAGATGCTGAGAGAAGTGGGACTGGATATTGAACACTGGTTGCCAAAGCTAAAGGAACACCTCAGCGTGACTTGTGCTCAGGCCTTACAATATTTAAAAGAAAAAGACCTCCAGAAGCTGAAATCCCATGCACAATATCCATGGGAGAAAAGAGCCTTGGAGAAGCTGTTTGAACTGTCACACTCAAAAACTATTTCAGAACTACAGGAGTCACCATTGGAGATGATAAAGAAAAGACAGAAGCAAGCAGATGAGGCACTGCAGGAGTTGAAAGAGTTGCTGTCAGAAGGGAGGCAGAGACAGGAAGAGGCAGTGAGAAGAAAAGAAGCAGAGCTGAGGCAAGTGATGGAGATCCCTGAAGAGCACTGGCCACTGCCTGAAAAGCCCCTACAGGAAGTCATAGGAAACATACAAAGACAGCTCAGTCTCACGGTACAGACACTGTCCCACAGGAAAAACCTACCAGATAGAGATGTGATAGAAAGGGCATCTGGAGGACTTGCCCTGCAGGGAATTTACAAAACCAGCCACAAAAAAGACCTGATGGAGAAGAGACAAGAGTTACTCAGTGTCCCTAAGGAGTTTTTACTATTTGGCCCTGAGCAGGGCACACGGATGGAAACAAAAGAATTTACATCTACTCAAGTAGAATCTATATTCACCCAGATGACAGAGAAGCTGGGCTTCAGTGTGACTTCCTCAGTCAAGGGTAGAGGTTGGGGATTTAGTTTAGAAGCTGGTATGGAACAAAGCAAACACTCAGAATCAGAGGAAAGCCAACAATCACATTCTAAGTGCTCTTATTTCTGCTCAACCAAGTTTAGCTATATCCCGCTGGCCTCCTGCCACTTTCCCATTGATCAGCTCCAGCTCTCCAAGGCTGCTCTCAAGGAATTGAAAAGCACTGAAGAACTCCTGGGTCAGGCTGCAGTCTCAGACAGATTACCCTTATTAAGGCAAAGGACAGAAAACTTCTTCCACAGGTTTGGCTCTCATGCTAACCAAGGCCCTCTGCACCTGGGAGGAATCTATTGGTGGAAGGCCACTGCAGAGGGTTTCCAAAGTGAGCAGCTGGCGGATGTGAAGCAGCAGGCAGCAGAGTACCTGGATGAGTACATAAGGTGCAGCTACAGCGGATTTGGAGTCAACATTGCAGCTGGTATGAATGTGTCAGACATACATTCAAAAATAGCCTGTCAGAGGAAAACTTTCCAAAACCTCGAAACAAAAATCCAGTTATCTGTGGCACAAACAGGTGGTCCACCAGAAGCAGATGGACTTGTCCAGTGGAAAGCTGGCCTTGTTGCCAGCAATCAAACCTGGTGTGTCATTGACCGGGGTCTTAAACTGGTGCCCATTTGGGACATCATCCTCTCCAGTCACAGAAGTGATTTTAAGGACCCTCTTCAGCTGGCTAACTGTCTAAAGGACAACTACACTGCTCTGACTGGCCTCACTGCCCAGATCCAGGATGGAGAGGAATTACTGAGTGCTGGGAAGGAAGCTAGGGATTTCCTACAAGATGTGAAATCCTGGGAGGTATCTGATCCTGAAGAGCAGCTAAAAAAACTGATAGGTTTTATGCAAATGTTGAATCATAAAATAAAAGATTATGACATTTGGATAAATATATGCCTCACAGATTTGGATCTGCAGAATTTTCTAGTAAACACTGTGAACTTTTGCAAGAAGTTACCAACTTATAAAACTAAATTTATTAAATCTCAATTGTGCAGTCTTCTGGATCCTCATGTCTACAAAGTAACAAATTTTCCTCAGGCTCATTCCATCATGCAGTGGATCTACCAGTCAGAGTCAAAGCAAGAGCAGGTGAATATCTCTGAGTTTTCTGAATTCATTATGACCTTAAAAGAAATACAAAATAACCTCATGGAACGGACTGACAAATCTGAGTTCCTAAAAAAAAGAGAAGAAACTCAACGAAAAGCTACTTATGAGATCAGCTTGGCTCTCAGCAGCTTCTTGGAATCCCTCAAAGAAACAGAGCAGCATGACACACACTTCTTGGTTCTTTCCATTGCAGTTGGTGCAGGTTATCAGGTGGTAAACAATACTTTTCACCATCTTCTGGGGTGTGATGAGTTAAACTTCCTGTTAGAAGAAACACAAAGTGCCGTAAATAAATATCAGGAGCTCAAATGTATTTGCAACTACAGCGCTCAGGCTTTCCTGGTGCTCACAGTTTTGACTGCCACAGTTGGAGTCACAGTTATTTCTCCAGAGGAGAAAACTCAACGCCTGGCATTAATAAGACAGCACATGGGACAATCACTGTCTAAGGAAGTTGCTCAAGTCCTCGCCAAACTAGAAGTAGATCATGATTGGATAAACCTAGAAAAAGATTTGAGAAAGCTTGTTGATGGAGATTATGAAGCCACCATCTCTTCTTTGCAAATGAATGAGGTCAAAAGACAATTGCAAAGTATTCTCCGTGAAAAGAAACAGCCCTATAAACGACATAATAGTGAAAATAATGAAATGGGTGTGATGGAGAATGCAGCTTTCCTAGACTTACTCCAGCGTTTAGGCCTAGAACTTTACTACCCAAAAAGGATGACCAGAGCTAACTTCCATCTAATCTACAAGACCTCTGTGTACAACAACCAGCCCAAATCTGAACAGGACATTCCCTTCTATTTCCTACAGAAGCTACTCATGCTAGACTATGGGTTGAGACATCTGGAGGTCAAGGATGATGGAAATATAGAAAAACAAGTCAGTACAAGTCCCTCCAATAAAGAATATGAAGATTTTGATCCATATGAAGACTTACCTGAAGACAGTGAAAGTCTCACTAATCCTGCAGCCAGTAAGACTAAGCTTCATATTCACCCAATGGATATTCAGATGGCGATATTTCACTGTGCAGATGATCTTGCCAGGCAATATATTTTGGCAAAACTTTCTTTGTGTCAATTTGCCCTCCCCCTGGTGGTGCCTAATCCCTGTTCTTCTCAACTTGAATTCTCTCTCTGGTCGCTAAGACAAATTAGGAAAAGTTGGCAGAATGCAAAGAAATCACCACAAGGAAAAAATAGTTACAAAAACCAGCAGATGTGTCAGGTCTCTACCCACATTGTGTCCTTCATTAGAGTTGGAAATGGCTTCTCGGCTTCCAAATCAAAGATCATGAACTGTTTTCTCAGTAAGCGTAAACATGATGTGTTTTTTCATCGACACTGCAGAGGAAGCAGCAAAGACTGTCTCTTGATGGGGGGCGTGGTTGAAATCTGCTGGTTCTGTCCAGGTGGGGGAGAGGAAGACAGATTTGATGACTGTGTGACCTTCACCAATCTTCATGGAGATGCAAAGGAACATAAGAGGCAGCTCACCTTCCTGCAGAAGGTCTCTTCTCTCATAGTCGTCCTCATGTCAGTGTCTGATGACAATAAAGAAAATCAAAAAATTGTCCGTGATCTGTGCCACTCATCCAGACCTTTGATATTCTTGGTGGATGATAAAGAAAAAAACATTGTCAGTAAATCAGAGACCAGAGTGAAAATTGGCCTCAAGAATAGAAATGAGGCAGAATTAACAGAGGAACTGACAATTACAATTAAACATTTGCTACAGGACATTGACACAGGTCTCACTTTGGAAAACTGTTCCCAGATTGCTCACAAACAAGGATTCCTTATTGATGAAGACCACAGTGACTGCAAGTTAGCAAAAGACAAAGCACAGATTATTCTGGCCCTTCTAGGAGAAACAAAATTATCTCAGATAAAAGAAACCTTACTACCACTCCAGGGACAACTGTGGCACCTCTGGTGTAAGAAGGACAAAGAACTCTATCATTTGAGAGAAAAGGGGAACAGAAGCATCGAGCATCACAAAAGTGAGGTTGAGTGTGAAAAACGAAAAATACGCCACCAGCAGTTCAAAAGAGCCTTTCCTCTCAATGATTTAATGCGATCTGTCCTTGAAATTCTCCAAGAACATTCAGAAACACACACTAAACTCTACTTCTTGCAGTGGTTGAGTGTGTTTTTGGACAACATGACTGCAGAACACTTGGAAAAACTACGAGAAAAACAAAGATCTTTGTGGTCACGAGTACAAACAGAAAAGCAAAAGACAAAACCAGGAAAGTCCCTGAAACTCTGGCAAAATCAGATAGAAGCCATCTCTAAAGAGATTTGCAACTGCACCCTGGGAATTGAGCAACTTCTTAGAGAAGTCGGCCAGATCTATGAAGCTCTGGAAGAAATTTCCTCCACAAGAGATACCATTTTTCTTTCCCTTCCCCAAATTGCTGCAGACCTTATGTTATCTGGTGTTCCCATTGAGCTGATGGATGGGGATGCTTCTTATGTCCCTCTAAAGTGGGTAGCAGCTGTGTTTGACAAGATCTCTGAGAAACTTGGAAATAAACGGCTGTTTGTTCTCTCTGTCCTTGGCCTGCAGAGCTCAGGGAAGTCCACCCTGCTGAATGCCCTTTTTGGGCTACAGTTCACTGTCAGTGCAGGCAGATGTACCAGGGGGGCCTACATGCAGCTCCTGGAGGTGGAGGAGTCATCCAGAGAGGAACTTGGCTTTGACTTTGTGCTGGTTGTAGACACAGAAGGACTTCGTGCCCCAGAACTCAACAACAAATCCCAGAATTGGACAATGAACTGGCTACCTTTGTCATCGGCCTTGGAAACTTGACTGTGATCAATATTTTTGGAGAGAATCCATCAGAGATGCAAGACATACTACAAATAGTTGTGCAAGCCTTTCTGAGGATGAAACAAGTCAAAATCTCCCCCAGCTGTCTCTTTGTCCACCAGAATGTGGGGAAGTTACAGCCAAAGACCAAACCATGGAAGGACGGCAGCGGCTAGAACAGAGACTGGATGAAATGACAGCGTTAGCTGCTGAACAAGAAGAGTGCTCAGATGTAACTCGCTTCAGTGATGTCATTAAGTTTGATGTAAATACTCACGTCTACTACTTTGCTCACCTCTGGGATGGCAATCCCCCAATGGCCCCTCCCAATCCTCGCTATAGCCACAATGTGCAGGAACTGAAAAGCAGAATCCTTTCAACTGCAGAACAGGAATCCAGGGGAAGCATCATGAAAATATCAGATGTAAAATTCAGAATTCAAGATTTGTGGAGAGCATTGGTCAGTGAGAACTTCATTTTCAATTTCAGGAACACCCGAGAGGTCATAGCTATGAGCAAACTGGAAACCATGTACAACCACTGGACCTGGGAACTGAGGAGTCACATGCTGGACTTGCAAAATAGGCTGAACAATCAGATTCAGAATGGAAAATTACTGACACTCAAAGGAGGAACAATTGAGGCTCCAATTACAGAGAAATATGAAACTATCAAAAAAGGATTTGAAAAATATTTTAAGGAAGACACAGAGAGTGAAATATTGATTCAATGGAAAGCAAATTTTGAAAATAAGCTACTACTGCTTAAAGAGGCACTTATTTTAGACACCAAAAGTAAAGTTAATGAACTTATTAGTTTAAAAAAAAGTCAAGAAATGCTGAATGAGAAAAAGACTGATTATGAAACTGAATTGTTAGAGAGCCGAGAGTTTGGCTTTAAGTGTAAAGGACAAAGAATTGAGTGATGAAGAGTTACATGACAAATTCAATAAACTTTGGAAAAAATGGGTCTATGATGTATCCTCAACTATCCCTCCAGTCACAGACCCTAAAATTGATGTGGATTCTGAAGACATCCTTTGGAAATATTTCCAAAAAGAAAAAAATATCAAGGAAAAATTAGAGAAAAGTCACGGAGAGAAATTTCAGATTGATCACAACAAACACATCCAAATGAGTAAGAAATATGGTTTCATCACAAACACTTTAGAGGACTATGATAAAGAGTCCATTGAAATGACTACTAATCGCATTTTTTCAAGATTTAAGGAAACTATTAACAACATTCAGAAACAACAGCGTGATTACAGTGCCAATGATTTCCATGAAATACTGAGAATAATAGAAGAGGAAGTGAAATCTGCACCCACTGAGAAAAGATACACATTTACAAGCAATTACAACATTGAGTTATCTTTGTGTCTATTCCAAAAAGCATCAAAATATTTCAAGGAAATGCACAGGGCATTCAAGAGAACAAATGATCCTGTAAACTATCTGGAAAGCAAGAAAGATGATTTCTTCATGAGTTTTAAGATCTCCTGCCAAGGAGCCACTTCCATCAAAACATTTGTTGATTTTCTATGGCACAAGCTCACTCATGCTGCATCTGACACTATAAGGAGGAAAATGGCCCCTACTATAGCTGGGGAAATGCGAGCTACTTGCCCTGCATTCAATGGAAATAGGTCTAACCTGGAGAAACACATTCTCATCTCTCTGGCAGAAGAAGAAAACTTTGATAATTATTGGCAATACATTCACAATCCAAAATCTTTTTCTAGGAGCTATATTGAAAACCATGTTAGAAGATATTGTTCAAATGAAGGAGGGAAAAGAATAAAGACTTTTGTAAAAACAAGTTTAGATGACATCAGGAATGCCATCCTTTCTGCCATTTATGAGTCAACAGCAGTAGCTAAAGATAAAAGCAGCACTGCATCTGAGTGGTTGGATTTGTTCTGTGATCACTTGGGCAGTAATTTGGTCTTTCCACGAAGAGAATTAACAAACATTGAACACCAGGAGATAAATTATGTTGAGTTTCTCAAAGAAGCCATGAGTGCAGCTTTGGATCCTGCAATGAAGAAAGTAGAAGAGAATTGTTCAAGTATGCCTACAGATGAAATGATTCCTGAAATTGAGAAAATCCTCTCTGAACATCTCTGTGGATGCTGGAAACAATGTCCCTTATGTAAAGCAATTTGTACAAACACAATTCCTACTCATGAAGGTGACCACAGTGTTCCATTTCACCGTCCTCAGGCTGTCAATGGATCTATTTGGTATAAAACAGACCACTTTGTCATTGATTGCTGCTGTACTTCAGTAGCCAGTGATGATTATTTTGTTTTTAGTGATAATAAGCAAATCCCATGTAAGAAATACCGGCAAGCAGGAGGTGATTATGCCACATGGAGAATCACTCCAGATTCATCCACCCAGCCATATTGGAAATGGTTTGTCTCACATTTCAGAGCAAAACTAGAAGAAAACTATCAGAAAAAATTTACAGGTAAAGGTGAAATTCCTATTTCATGGACACAAATCACAAAACAGGATGTGCTTGATGACTTGAAGAAATAATAGTTAGTACACAAGAGACCTATACCTGAACTCAGAGGTCAAAGTACCTAAACAATCTTAAAGCAACACCTTGCAATGAGAACCTTCAACATCTCCAGTTTTGAAAAAACTGTTTAAAGATATCCTAATAAAGGACTTAACTAAGTTCTCTCTGCCTCAACTATATCTGGTTTAAAAACAAATTAGAAACAATAAAAACAGCAGGGTACTGGCACAAAAACAGACATGAAGACCAGTGGGACAGAATAGAGGACCCAGATATGAAGCCACACAACTATAACTAACTTGTCTTTGACAAAGGCGCTAAAAATATACGATGGAGAAATAGCAGCCTCTTCAACAAAAAATGCTGGGAAAACTGGTTAGCAGTCTGCAAAAAACTGAAACTAGATCCATGTATATCGCCCTATACCAATATTAACTCAAAATGGATCAAGGATCTTAATATCAGACCACAAACTCTAAAGTTGATACAGGAAAGAGTAGGAAATACTCTGGAATTAGTAGGTATAGGTAAGAACTTTCTCAATGGAACCCCAACAACACAGCAACTAAGAGATAGCATAGAAAAATGAGACCTCATAAACCTAAAAAGCTTCTGCTCAACAAAAGAAATGGTCTCTAAACTGAAGAGAACACCCACAGAGTGGGAGAAAATATTTGCCAGCTACACATCAGACAAAGGACTGATAACCAGAATACATAGGGAACTTAAAAAACTAAATTCTCCCAAAATTAAAGAACCAATAAAGAAATGGGCAAGTGAACTAAACAAAACTTTTCAAATGGCCAAAAAACACATGAAAAAATGCTCACCATCTCTAGCAATAAAGGAAATGCAAATTAAAACCATACTAAGATTCCACCTCACCCCTGTTAGAATAGCCATCATTAGCAACACCACTAACAACAGGTGTTGGGGAGGATGCAGGAAAAAAGGAACCCTCCTACACTGCTGGTGGGAATGGGAACTAGTACAACTACTCTGGAAAAAAATTTGGAGGCTACTTAAAAAGCTAAACATTGATCTACCATATGATCCAGCAATACCACTCTTGGGGATATACCCAAAAGACTGTGACACAGGTTACTCCAGAGGCACTTGCACACCCATGTTTATTGTAGCATTATTCACAATAGCCAAGTGATGGAAACAGCCAAGATGCCCCACTACTGACCAAATGGATCAAGAAAATGTGGTATCTATACACAATGGAATTTTATGCAGCCATGAAGAAGAACGAAATGTTATCATTCGCTGGTAAATGGATGGAATTGGAGAACATCATTCTGAGTGAGGTTAGCCTGCCCCAAAAGACCAAAAATCGTATGTTCTCCCTCAGATGCAGACATTAGATCAAGGGCAAACACAACAAGGGGATTGGACTTTGATCATATGATAAAGGAAGAACACACAAGGGAGGTATGAGGATAGGTAAGACACCTAAAAAAACAGATAGCATTTGTTGCCCTCAACACAGAAAAACTAAAGGAGATACTTTAAAGCAACTGAGTCCAATAGGAGAAAGGGACCAGGAACTAGAGAAAAGGTTAGATCAAGAATTAACCTAGAAGGAATCACACTTGCACAGGAAATCAATGTGAGTCAACTCCCTGTATAGCTATCCTTATCTCAACTGGCAAAAACCCTTGTTCCTTCCTATTATTGCTTATACTCTCTCTTCAATAAAATTAGAGATAAGGGCAAAATAGTTTCTGCTGGGTATTGAGGGGGGGAGAGGGAGGGGGCAGAGTGGGTGGTAAGGGAGGGGGTGGGGGCAGGGGGGAGAAATGATCCAAGCATTGTATGCACATATGAATAATAAAACAATAAAAATTTAAAAAAAATTTTAAAGGTCAAATCTGAGTTACTAAAAAGAAGATGCAATATTGAACTGAGAAATATTGAAGGGTATCTCTTTTTCTTACAAAATGTAGGAGTACAACAATGTCGAAGGAATGGAATGCATATAAAAATTGACCCCTTTAAGTTTGGGATACTTTTTTTTTTGGAGGACGTCACATGAAACAAATAATTTTCATTTTCCATTCCATAAAAATTGGAATTCTCGTCACTCTAACCTTTGAATAAAGTCTATAGGAAAATAAGAAAAAACACACTCAGTTTTTTATGTTAGTGCTCTGGTGTACCAATAGACAAGGTAGTGTAGGAAAGTGTGATTACCACTGACACTCTCATGATGATTACTAACACTGCTACCTTGTAGTAATAGTGTCTGTGAGACCTTGACATATAATTTAATCTCTGTGAGCTCTGGTACTGAAACAGTAAAATATAGATTTCTCATGCTCCTTTGGAGCTGAATAAAGGAATTGATACATGTAACACATTTAGGCCAGTGCTATACAATGAGTAAGTACTCTGCAATTATAAATTACTAGTTTATACTACCATATTCCTTACTCCATTGACAGTGAATAATATTTTATTGGAAATACATTGGTGTGTTGAGAAACTCTCATCTGAGTAATTGGCAGAAATTTTCAGCTTGGAATCCCAATTTGACAATTACATTTGAGAATATAGTTAATATTCAATAAATGTGACTATAACTCAATTGCTCAAAAGTGCATTACAAATTATTGGAGACCCTTGGCAATTCATTAGCAGTTGCAGCTATTCCAAATGCTAATCAGCCAGCTGAGAAATGCCACTACCACAAATCTCAATCATTGTGGAAGATACTATGTGTTGGGTTCCTCAGAAACAGGCCTGAGGCCTAGAAATGCAAACAAGTGATATATTAGAGAAGTTATTCCAGTGAAATTAAATGAAGGAGAGGGGAAGCAAGAAGTAGAATGCATTCATGATAAAGAAGCAAAATTAGTAGGTATAAATCAAGTGTTGAGAAATAGGGAAAACTACCCTGTAGTTGTAGTTAAGAGCAGAAACTCGGAACTTAGACCGATCAGCTGTGATTTCAGCTTTTACAGTGTGACCCTGGATAAACTGACCTCCTCATCTTCATTTTCTTCATCTATATGGTGATATATGAGGATGTGGGAAATAATCTAAATTCCTGGCATGTAGCATGTATTCTAGTGATAGGTAGTAGTAGTATCAGGCAGCAAAGTTTTGTGAGTAGAAGCAATTATATTAGCTATTAACATCCACAGCGTGGTTATTAAATCAAATGTTATTATGCCTACACTCCATACTCAATTATAATTTCATGAACAAGCAGATTCCAATCCTTTATTTTGACCCAAGTAGTGATTATAAATGTGGTTCCCTTATCATTTTCTCTGTGTTATATTTTCTGTACATGTAATTTTTATTATTTTACTTATTTATCTATTTTATTAAATAGAATTAAAACTGTAAACCTAATAAAGGGGATGAAGAATGGAGGAACTGAGTAAGGGAATTGTTAGGTTCCTTTGACAGGAGCTTATATAATAGCCCCAAATGTCATTATTCTTTTAGAGAAACCAAGGAATCTTTATTTATTCTAAAAATGGAAAACATATGAACCAGGCATGTCCTCTGGGGAAGATATTCTCTAATACTTTTATTATTTTTGGTACTTTCCTTTAGAACAATAGTATTTGTCATGCATTTCACACTGTGACTCCTATCAACTCCTCACTGGTACAACAGAAGTGTGTCACCAAGATCCTCTTTCAGGAAGGACTTGCTGCACAGTTGATGGTAGGGCAGCCACTCTGAAGCTGTCAGATCGTTCAAACGTGCCTCAATTGCAGAGATCATCTTCACCCAAGACCATGTCCTTCCTAGGGTAACCTGCATCCATTGGTTGAGTGACACACAAAGTTCTACTCATGGTCCGTAATCATGGTCACATCTTCCTGGGGTAACCTGCATTCACTGGTTGAGTGACACACTGTCTTAGCCATGGTCCCTGACACAGGATACTTTGATAGTCTTCACTCCATCCCCCAAGGCTTTCACATCATTCAAAAAGCTTTGTTATTCCTGCATCACAGGTCAGTTTCTTCCTTTGCCAAATTCTCATTCATCCCTTCTTTCTCAGCTGTTGGCCCCTAATAAATATGTCACACATTGCATCAACATCTACTTCTGGAGAAACCCATATAGGAAATACTTCAAGGCACTGATGAAGATTGCTAAATCCAGATGGATTCAAACAGAAATAAGAGATAATTAGAAATAATTTATTTCTAATAAAGAAAATTATTAGAACAAGAAAGAAAATAAGGACTATACAACATTCTCTTCCTAACACCAGTGGGAAGACAGGAGCATACTTTCAAGAGCTGAGAGAATTAAGGACTTCCAAAAGAGATCAGCAAGCAAGACAGTGAGAAATGGTCCTGTGTTAGTCATCTTTCCTTTGCTGTGACAAAAGTACCAACTTAAAAGGAGGAAAGATTTATTTTGGCTCATGGCTTCAGAGAATTCAGTCCATGGTTGTTTGGCTCCATTGATTTGGACATAGAATAAGGAAGAATATCATGCAGAGAGGGCCTGACTAATTAAAGTTGCTCACTTCATCACAGCCAGAAAGAAAAGTGAGAGATATAAGGGTCCAGGGACAAAAAATACCCTGCAAGCTCTAGCTCCACAATGAATCACTTCCAACATCTAAACCCCACTTCCTAATAGCCAATTAAATCATCTATGAACTCATAAGTGGAGTGATCCATTGATGAGGTTATCACAATCAAGATCCAAACACTTAACGGGCCACCACCTGGAGAGCAAGCCTTCAACACGTGAGATTTTAGGAACATTTTATATCCAAATCATAACAAGTTCCCAGCCCTATTGAGAGCAGTAGAAAGGCGCTTGATATATGGCTGCCAGGTACACAACTCATTGTAAGTGATAATTAAAAAGCAGAACACTGGTGGGGGAAAAAAGGAGACAGAAAACTGATATAGAGAACAAGAATATATTTTTCCACATGGCCTCGGAATTGGGAGTATGAGGGGAGAGAAGCCCAAGGCTTTGAATATGCATTCCTTAAGAGGAGTGACATGGAAGTAAGAGTTAACTTTAACTTAAAGAAGGACAATTCCTTGATCCTACATGCTACAGCCTGGAATTATTCCTGGTAGAGCTAAGACTTTATCATCGTATGCACTGAAGAGACAGATACAGGTGCAAGTAGAGAGCCCCTGCATCCACCAAGTTAATGTACAAAGTATTCCCAAAACCTTTCTTCTCTTAGCATCTGGTAACTCTAGATTACTGTAGACCCACTGAGAATGGACAATGGAAACTGT